GTCAGGTGATGTCCGACTAGTGTGAGTGGACTGTATAGTTGTGCTCAAGAGCAAGAAAGGAAATTGAAATCATGAAAGCATCAAGATTTCATTTTCCCTTTATTTGTCTGCTTTTCTTGAGTATTTTATCTTTTAGATGCTTATCTGTAAAGGAAATATGAAATTCTGGTAAATTCCATATAATGTATCCGCAACATTCAATAGATGTTGAGATACTGTGCAAATCATCATTGTGATTTAGGTACCCGGCGATTAGAAAGGGACTGAACAAAGAAAAATGATTATTCCTTTTTGAACAAAAGAAACATAACGATTACTATAAAAGTGGGGAATAGATTCAAATTCGTTTACTAGATGTCTATCCATTGGTGCTCTGGAATATGTTTTGAGCTTTGTCCTTACTCGTTGTTGGTATGTTTAGTTTTTTCCATATGGTCTGCTTTTCTTAATTTAGGTATTGAATTGTCTAGTAGTTAAATACATATTAACCTTTCATGCAAAGATGTTCATTTTGGTAGTCAAATACATTATGGTGTAATGTAAACATTGCTCAATAGGGTAGTAAATCTAGTTTCTCAAGCAATTTATGTCAGTGCAGAAGACTGCATTTAGTTCATTTCTATTTATCTTGATAGAATTGTTACTATTGTCAGCATTTCATTCTTGTGCACAGTTGATAGTAATATCTTTCATACCTCTTGGAATTCTCTCTCTTCTATGCTGCGATTAACTTATTTGACCACTCTGGAAGTAAGAAATAAAAGTCTTTGTTAGTTATGGGTGAAGGGGCAGAAGAAAATACAGAACAATTTTGTGTTGCTTGCTTTGGTAATACTGGCTATTGTATTGGCTACTCAAAACATTGATAAATATGTTAGGTATTGCAGGATTGTCAGATTCATAATCCTCGCACTAGGGTTCAAGAAGCATCCCATTGTTTAGCTGGGAATAATTGATTTGTGGAATCCCCATTGATATGATTAAAAAGGATCATATAGGTGCCAAAGAGAGATGGTTGGGAGGAATAATGGATGTTGCATATTTTTCTTGTGGGAGGCCCTATATTTGGCCCAGCTCCAAACTCAATCCCAGCTACACCTAAGAGACTAAAAATTAAGTTCTAATCACAAATATAGATGACTTTGTGAGATGGAAATTAGAAACTCTCTATCACTGAATTTCTGAACTTCATTATTATTATTATTTTGAAAATTGTAAATTTCTGATTTTGGTATTGTTATTTTTCAGTACCGTTAGGCATGGAGAGCGCATTGGTTTCAGCTATCTTGTTTCTCAAAAATATACTGGAGATGATGCTCGAGTGAAAGTTCTTCGTAAATCTAAGACTCTAGAATTCAAAATAAAGCTTAACGCACATAAACGATTGATTCCAGCTCATATCAAGGGAAAACCTCCTTCTTACTACATTGTCGGTGGATTTGTTTTCACTACTGTTTCTGTTCCATATTTACGTTCAGAGGTTTGTAATCAACTGCATAACTTCATATTTTATTTATTACTTGTTCGCTATGCCTTTGAGGGCTTACATATCTTGCTTGGGTACCACTTTTTTCCCTTAAATTTAGTATGAAAAAGATTATGAATTTGATGCTCCAGTTAAGTTGTTGGACAAACTCCTACACGCAATGGCACAATCAATTGATGAACAACTGGTTGTGGTTTCTCAGGTCAGTCTAGCTCTTTGTCGATTTACTAGTCTGTTATATCTAAGGCTCCTTTCTGATCTGCCTTGCCCACTTCCTATTAGGTGCTTGTGGCTGACATCAATATTGGTTATGAAGAACTAGTTAACACTCAGGTGAGAAGAAAATATTGTGGGACTACAGAGCTGAGTAGTATTTACGAATTAGGGAGCTGCCATTGTTAATTTTTTCACGTGCATCTATATGTTTTGATTTGACATTGAATGAATGTAATCTAGGTTCTTGCTTTCAACGGCAAGCCTATAAAAAATCTGAAGAGCTTGGCTAACATGGTGGAGGCCTGTAAAAAAGAATACATGAAGTTTGATCTTGATTATGATCAGGTTATCTCTCTATCTGATTTTTATGTCCTTTCCTTTCTTTTCTTTTCTTTTCTTATCCTTCTGGACCTCTCAAGGTGATTCTGTTGTTTTTTTTAGATTGTTGTACTGCAGACTAAAAATGCAAAAGCGGCAACGTCGGATATTCTTGCAATGCATTGTATACCTTCAGCCATGTCTGATGATCTGAATGAGAGCTGTTTTTGATGGTATCGAAGCTCAGGACTCTCCGCATTCACCTTTTCTCCTCTTTGAGCTACTTTTTTGTGTTTCTACTCCTATTATCTTTGGTCAATTTGCATAGATTGTGGAGTTTCTACTGGCAACTGTGGTGTCATCGATGGCCTCTCCATAAGAGAGTTCCTGTTCTCTTCCCTGCGATAGGAACTGAACAGATGCTATGAAGTTTTGGTACCTTTTTTTCCCCGAGTGCGCAGTTCAAAACATGGTAGATAATGGGCTCGTCCCTTTATCCTTCTCCACTTAAATACCTACCTATTATATTGTCCAGCTAGTATACTAGATTTTCTTATAGTGCATTCCTGAGATACAAGTGGAGAGCGATGTTTCTCCAGTAGTGGCTTTGAGTGCTTTAAAGCCAACGTAGAATGTGGTTCAGAAGTCCTATCAGGAGATCACTCTACTGCACTCTCCCTCTCAGACCGCCTTTCATTTATACCTATACGATTTATGTTCTTGTAGAAACATACCTTTATATGTGCTTGCAGGATTTACTTTTCGATATCCTTTAGCATTACGCTTGTCTGCGAACTGCATAATGATGATGAGGTTATGAATATCTAGCTTAGCTACCTTTTTGTGTTGTATTTGTTTTTTTCCCTCTGTAACAAGGGAAACTTTTTTAGCTGAAGATAACGCTAGAGCCGCTAACATAACATTCAGAAATGTCTTTGTTCCTTTCCCTACTTAACATTGGAGAATCCAATGGCTATAATTGTTACGTTGTCACAACCCAAGCGAATCTCATATCATGACAAAACATGAGATGTTGAATATATAAGTAAACAAGCCTTATACCTTAGTGATGCGTTTTAAAGTTGTGTGGATCTAGGCCCAAAGTGGACAATGAGCTTGTTTGGATTGGCTTGTCTTAAGTGCTTTTAAGCCAAAATGGGTTTTAAGCTATTTTGTAGTGTTAGTAAAGTAAAAAAGTGCTTTTAAGCACTTATTTTTAAGCTAAAATGACAAAAACAAGGTAAAAGTCAAAAGTTGGAATTCCTAATTTATGGCTTAAAAATTATTTTGGCTTAAAAGTCACTTAAAACAAGCACATCCAAACGGGCTCAATATCACTAGTTAATTGAGCTGTTACATATGGTATCAGAGCCATTCTGTGTGGAACCTTGAGATGGTGGGACAAATTTTAGCTATCAACTAAGAGCTTGTTTGACCAAGTTGTCAAAAACTGCTTATTTTGAAATGATTTTTTTTTGTTTAAATATGTTTTTTGAAAAAGTACTTTTGCAAAATAGTAGTTTGTGTTCGGCCAATTCGTTTGAATAATGCTTTTTGCAAGCTCATTGTGTTTGGTTATTTTTTTAAAAAAAAGTACTTTTAAGTATCAAATTACCAAAAAAGGATAGTAAAGGTTCGATTTGCAATTAGTATTAAAAATAAATTTAAACATTTATTATAAAAGAATTTAATTGAAATATAAAATATAAAGTAAAAATATAAATTAAAAATTTCAATCAATATAATAGTTATTCCAAAGTAATAACATTGAGTGCTTGGTATTACTTATTGTTTATATGATACTTTAAATATGCCAAAATATATTGTTTAATATAAATTTAAAATTTACTCTTACGAATAGGAGAAAAAGAATAAATCTATGATTAAAATAAAAAAGAAAAGAAATGTATAGTAGAATAAAAAGGAAAAGAAAAAGAAAAATGTTAAATTAATGAGGATAATTTGAAAAATATAAATTTATTGCAAAGTTATTTTTGTCTTGAACAAATTAGTTTTCCGCTTCTGCTTCTTGGAAGAAGCTAGAATTTGTAGCTTCTCCCCAAAAGCAGAAAAACTGCTTCTGTTGCTGCTCAAAAGTATTTTTTATTTTGGCTAAATATCTTAAACTTTTTATTAAAATACTTTTTTTACAAACAAAAAAAAGAAGTATTTTTGGTCTCCCAGAAGCTTGGCCAAACAGACTCTAAGTTTAGGCGAATCTCACATATTTTGGGATACATAGACATTTGTCTGTAAACACATAACCCCAGCAGGGGTCTGGTTTGGACATGCACAACAATAGCTGATGCTGGCATAATCACAAACCAGACATAAAACATTAACACATGGAAGGGATAGGGGTTTGGGATTCATAAGATAGTAAGTATACAGTAAGTGATTGACAGGGCATGCTTGG